ATCTTAAGATATGCACAAATTTAGGAAAAGCTCTTGCTTTTCACATACTTCTCAAAGCGACAATATCTTTCACTCTTATTATCATTTGTCGAAGTTTTGATCTATATGTTGTCATCAATTACCAAAAAGGGGGAGATTGAAAGTGCAACTACCCTGGATGGTTTTGGTAATCCTAACAACATATAGCTCATTGAGCTAACATTATTCCAATATTAATATTTCAGGAAAAGCTCAATGAATGGTATGGCACGGATGAGGAAAGTGGATCCCTCAAAATTTTAAGGACAAAAAGTTTGGCTCAAGCTTGAAGCTCAAGACTCTATATTTTATATTTTAGTGATCCAAGATCATATTGAGTCTATAGGAAAAGCCAATACTATTAAGGAGGGATGAGGTGTTGCTTAATGGCTTGCTTGCTCAAAGTGCTTAGTGATATGCTCCAAGAACCCTCAACTACCTTCCCACATCTATATATGACCTAAACCAAAAGTCAAACTCGGCCCCACCGATTCTTTCTATCCGGCGCCACCAAGTTTCAAATGTCATAGCCACTGTCACAAACCCTAGCAAACCGGTCTCACCGATAGGGATCTCGGTCTCACCGAGATGGGATTGTAATCTCTCTGTTTCCCTTCGTAACGTTTCGGTCTTACCGAGATGAGCGATCGGTCCCACCGAGATTGCAATGTAAAGTCTTTGTTTTCCTTTTGTAACATTTCGGTCTCACCGAGATGAGCGAATCGGTCCCACCGAGTTTACCTGACCAACTCTCTGGTTAGCTTATTACCAAAATCGGTCCTACCAAGTTTGGGTAATCGGTCACACCGAGATTACGTTATGCCCTAACCCTAACCATAGCGGTCCTGCCGAGTTGCATCTCAGTCCCACCGAAAATCCTAACGGTCACTAGGTTTGCTGAATCGGTCCGGCCGAGTTTAACCATTCGGTCCCACCAAGTTTGGCAAATTGTGTGTAACTGTTAGATTTTGTGTGAAGGCTATATATACCCCTCCACCCACTCTTCATTCGCGGAGAGAGCCATCAGAACATACCTACACTTTCAATACACATTTTCTGAGAGAGAACCACCTACACTTGTGTTGAGGTCAAGATATTCCATTCCAACCATATGAATCTTGATCTCTAGCATTCCCCAAGTTGCTTTCCACTCAAATCTTCTTTCCACCAAATCCAAATCCTGTGAGAGAGAGTTGAGTGTTGGGGAGACTATCATTTGAAGCACAAGAGCAAGGAGTTCATCATCAACACACCATTTGTTACTTCTTGGAGAGTGGTGTCTCCTAGATTGGCTAGGTGTCACTTGGGAGCCTCCGACAAGATTGTGGAGTTGAACCAAGGAGTTTGTAAGGGCAAGGAGATCGCCTACTTCATGAAGATGTACCGCTAGTGAGGCAAGTCCTTCGTGGGCGACGACTGTGATGGAATAGACAAGGTTGCTTCTTCGTGGACCCTTCGTGGATGGAGCCCTCCGTGGACTCGCGCAACCGTTACCCTCCGTGGGTTGAAGTCTCCATCAACGTGGATGTACGATAGCACCACCTATCGGAACCACGACAAAAACATCCGTGTCTCCAATTGCGTTTGAATCCTCCAAACCCTTCCCTTTACATTCTTGCAAGTTGCATGTTTTACTTTCCGCTGCTCATATACTCTTTTGCATGCTTGCTTGAATTGTGTGGAGATTGCTTGACTTGTGCTAAGATAGCTAAAATCTGCGAAGAACTAAAATTGGGAAAATGCTAGATTTTTATTTGATCAAGTAGTCTAATCACCCCCCCCCCCCTCTAGACATACTTTCGATCCTACATTATCGCAGACAGATTTTCTCAAATGCCTCATTTGATTTCATACCGCAAGACAACAAATGCTCATCATGTGGCAGAAATATTCTTTAAGTGGCCAGACTCAATAAAATTAAACATACTTCCATTCTAGTCAGTATTTGTTTGTCTTCTCCGGTTCTAAAAAAAATTGTTTGTCTTCTTAGTTTTAGATATTGTTTTCCATAGTCTTCTAGCTATGAATAGAATGTTAAATCTTACGTAATGTTTTCTAGAATGGTCTAGTTATAAGTAGAAGTTAAGATGCAAAGGCTTAACCAAAGCCCGCAAACAAGTTTCTCACAACATCTACAACCAGACCCATGCACACACCAAACGTCCAGGTGCGCTGCCCGTTCAATGATCAAATGAAACAACGCCACCCAACCGGGCCCCCATATCCGACACAAACGACTGGACTGGCCGATAGTCCCCATATCGTGCCCATATCTAGGGCACATATGGGGACGCCCGGATGCAGGTGCCACATCGGATCCGCTAGGGCCCGCGCCGTCCCCACCAATGCCCCACAAATACCTCACCACATTGGACAAACCCTAGTCAAACCCTCACTTTCTCAGTCCGCACTTGTCCTCTCTGCTTCCTCCCAAATCCTTCCTCTTCCCTCCTCCATTGTCAATTTTGGTCAAGACTCCAACAGCGCCCCGATCCCCATGGACTAGGACGGACTCATGAAGGAGAAGGACGACTGGTCTAGCAGCGCGCCAGACTAGGACGAGCTCGCGCTCCGCATAGCCATCCAACATTCGCGCGTGGACACCGACAGGAGCTCGAGCTCCATCGCATCCGCCGCAAGCCCCTCCACCTCACGCCGACGAAATGGAGGGCGCGACCAACCGTCTCGCTCCACGCCGCTCCAGATCCGAAGCGCGTGCATCTTCCCTTCCACTCCCGCGCCAGCATCACCCGGGCAACGGTCGGTGCTCGTGCCCGCGGCTCGCGTGCGGATGCACATGCCAGAGTCAGAAGCGAAGGCGACCCGGTGCGAGTGGTGGCCACAGCGAAGCCCGATTCTTCACACCCACAGGCGCGCTCCGTCCCCATCGACCCGAAGGAGGCACTTCTCTCCGAGGTCATGCGGCAGTTGCTGACCACGGCGGAGTCCAACACGCGGCGCCTTCGGTGCAAGAACGCGAAGGCGCTCAGCCTCAAGCTCAAGACGTCAGAGCGCCTCACGCGGGAGAAGGAGACCAAGGCCGCCCACCATGCGAAGGAGCAACTACGTTTCCTCCGCCACCTCTCCGACTACATTTCTTCCGCATTGGAGAGCGGCACCACCATGGACGCCGACGCATAAATGGAGATTGACCGCCACCGACAAACCTTTTGCTTGAGTTTTGGATTGAACTTACATATCAGTCTATATTCACTTATAGAGCGATATCTGGCGCATCACGTTGAATTAGTTAACCCCAGAAAATAAAAAAGGCACGAGGTGGAGTGCCGACCAAAATCCGTCTGTTTCGCTCACATTCCTCTGCTTCGTGTGTTTCATTTGCAGTGTGCACTTAACCTGTTTTTTTTTGGGTGAACCTGTTGGTTGATTTGCTTGCAGAAGCTTGTGTGAGAATATGAGTTCCCAGCTATGCCCACCGTGAAAGGATAGGACGAGTGAGGGCAACCATCATCAATTCAGTGAAGATATACTGCTAACTGCCTATTTTGAATAAAAGAAATACAATATAATACGAACAGCATGGTTTGGCAAACAGAGCTGAGAAATACTACCTCCGTCTCAAACTGTCTAGCCTACAAAAACGTCTTACATTTTGAGATGGAGGTGGTACCTCACTTCCCAAGAGAGCAAACATTCAGAATGCATATTCCACCATAATTCATCAAAAAGAGCAATTCAAATTACGGAAGCTGCACTTTGCAAGTAGTATATCACTACCAACAGGCAAAATCACAGCATGACATGGTGCAGTTGGGTGGCTGCACAGGCATTACTCTTTAGAAGACTGTTGTTTCTAGGTAGTATTAATGTTATCGACAACACATTCCAGTAGACAGTTAAGATATACTGCAAACTGCCTGCGTTGAACAGAAAAATATATACTATAATAGAATACCATGGTTTGACAAACAAAGCTGAGAAATATTTCACTTTCCAAGCTAGCAAACATCCAGAATGCATATTCCACTATATCCAATTCAACAAATAGAGCAATTCAAATTATGAAAGCTGCACTTTGCAAGAACACATCACTCTACCTACAGGCAAAATCACAACAAGACAGGGTGCCTAACAGTAGGGTGGCTGCACAGGCATCACCCTTTAGAACGCTGTTTCTAGGTATGGAACTTGGTATGGTTCATAGGTATATACTGCAACTCTGCAACACATTCTGGATGTTTGCTAAGGCTGAAGCGCCGGATGAATCACATAGCTTGTATCTGAACTAACTCAACACCACAAGCTACTTACAACTGCTGTACACAAATGAGGTTTTAGAGACTTGTGTCAAGTCTCTAAAACGTCTTATATTTGTTTACAGAGGGAGTAGAATTCTACCTCCTAATTGTATAGCTTAATGCTTGACCAAATATTGACACTTCTAGACATGCTAAACCATTCTTCAAAGTTGGTTAATCCAGTCATCTCTAAACACTAAGCTCCTAATAACAGTTCAAGTAAGTAACTCTACATAAACTACACTTCTGCTAATGCCTCTTGGCTTGAGTGATTCTGGAAATTAACCTTATACTCTCTCCGTCCAAGCTTGAAAAACGATCTTATATTGTGGGACGGAGGGAGTAGTGAATAAGAACATTGGACAACACCATAGTGATGGTGTATGCTTGTTAGCCTAAAAGGACAGGAACAGAATGACAACTGATGCATCTCTAAGTACATCATATACTGCATATAAAGAAAACATCATCATAAAACTAATTGGCCGTTGACAGAAAACAAAGAAAATCTAATGGGAAGAAAAGAACAACATGTTTTCATGCTGTGACTTGAAATTGATCGTATAACTGATATTCACCACACTATCAATTTATCAGTATCAAAGGAACGAAATTCCTTTTTACGAGTTGCAATAAATATCGGCAATAGCTCAGTTCAGGCAATTGAAACAACAGGAAGAGGATACCAAGTTGACCTGTTGTATTAGGAATCAAAACTTAGATCTAACAACAAACAACATAGCCACCGGACTCAGAAAAAGGTTTCACCTTTGTGGCCTGGCCACCCCTCATACCGCGGAGGGCTCCTCCATATCCCTGTCCCTGCCACGGCCGTTGGCGCCGGCGCCCCCACCGTGGTGAGGCGGGTCAACGGCACTGAGGCCATCAGGCATGAGGGAGGCCGGGCGGTTCTCGATGACCTCGTCTATAAGCCCCCATTCGCGGGCCTCCTCGGGGTCCATGAAAAGGTCACGCTCCATGCACTGCTCGATCTTGTCGATGTTCTGGCCCGTGTGCTTGGCGTAGATCTTGTTGAGGCGGTCGCGCAGCTTGAGTATCTCCTTGGCCTGGATGGCGATGTCGGTGGCCTGGCCCTGGGCCCCGCCGGAGGGCTGGTGGATCATGACCCTGGCGTTGGGCAGCGCCCGCCTCTCCCCGCGCGCGCCGGCGGCGAGGAGGAGGGAGCCCATGGAGGCGGCCTGGCCGATGCAGATGGTGTTGACGGGGCAGCGGATGTACTGCATGGTGTCGTAGATGGCGAGCCCGGCGGTGACGACGCCCCCGGGGGAGTTGATGTAGAGGCTGATGGGCTTGAGCGGGTTCTCGGACTCGAGGAAGAGCAGCTGCGCGACGACGAGGGACGCCGTCTCGTCGGCGATGGGCCCGTGGATGCAGACGATCCGCTCCTTGAGCAGGCGGGAGAAGATGTCGTAGGCGCGCTCCCCGCGGGAGGTGGTCTCGACGACCATGGGCACGAGGCCGTACTCGCGGACGGAGGAGTAGCCCTCCGGCTCCGGCGGCTGGTAGGGAGCCGAGGAGAAGAAGGCCCGCGGCGGGGCGGCGACGGCGAGCCGGCGCGGCGCGGGCCCGAACGGGCCCGGGCTGGCCGAGTTGGGCCTGGACCTGGGCCTCGGCGCGAAGGCGGGCAGCGGGGAGGCGCCGGCTAGGTTGGCGACGGCGGAGGGCGTCATGGCTGCTGCTGCCGGTGGTCCTGGGGGCGTCCGGGGTGCGGATTTGTGGTCGGATGTGAGGCGGAAATAGCAAGGGAGGACTTATACCAAGGAAGGGGAGGAGAGTGTGAAACGGAGGAAACGGATAGGGCGAGGCGAGACGTCGAGACGGTGGTTGCGCTTCGATCCGCCGGATCGGATCTTTTCTTTTCTTCTCTTCTCCTCTCTTCTCCTCTCCGGGGTGGGGTGGAGTGGGGGATCGGTGTTCCTCTCCCTGCCTTGCCTTGTTGCTTCTCCGTCTGGGCTTTCGCTTCTTTTCCAAGAAAGAATTTATTTTCTTTTCTGAGACAAAGAACGTCTGGGCTTTCGCTTGTTTTCCATGAAAGAATTTATAATTTTTTTCGAGACAAAGAAAGAATTCGATTTAGCCCACAGTAGTGGGAGAGTTCTAGCTGGGCTCTCTACCATGCTAGTGATTTCGTTTTTGTTTTGTTGCAGGCTCGGTGGGCTTCGGCGTTTTTCTGCACAGGTAGACGAGCACACGCCAAGGACGTAACGAGGGGTGAAGCAACCATTCTAGTCCGCTAAAACTGCATCCCGATACGTGTCTCCGTCTCTCACGCCACGACCATTACCTAGGACTACCGCATCGTCCAGCGGCTGCGGCAGGGCCAGGTCGGCCGGGGGAGCAGCACCTCGCGCCGTGGAAGCCGCGGTGGCGGCTGTGCGACGTGCACGTAGTCACGTACGCGTGAGTGACTCATGTGCGGAGGAACGCTCCATTGGCGTTTTTCTGCACTAGGAGTACGTTTTTCTGCGATCCGTGACGGTTGCGGTCGCCGTCCTCGCAAACTCCCAGCGCACGTTTGTGCTTCTTTCTTTCTACTGTAGGCCTCCTTTGCTTAGTAGAAATTTTTTACTCTTCCTGTCCATATTAATTGTCGCTCAAATGGATGTTCTAGTTATATTTTAACCTAAAATCTAAAAAGTGTGCGCGCTATTTCATTGCTGCGAGCGGCCGCTCTGTTACACACATGCATGTGTATTTATTTTGTCTCGTAATGCATGTTAATGCTGGCATTAAATGTATTCACACTAGTCTCATCAGTTAGAGAAAACAGATCCATATACTTTTATTTTGAGATTTTATATTCTTTTAAAGCCGTATCTTTTAAACCACATGTTGGAATTCAGTTTTGTTTTCACCGTTGGATTCATCGCGACGAGATCTTTGAAACTAAATTCGCATGGATATGTTTCGACGAATTTTTTGTGTGCCAACTTTGATGCTATATGATGCAATAAAATACTACATTGTGCAACTTTAGTACTACATGGTGCAATTTTTTAAAAATCAGTTGGCTTGTAATTTAGTCTAGTTGTACAGACATTGATGTTTAGTTGGTTTATAATGTAGTCTAGTTGCACACACATTGATGTTTAGTTGCCAGAAGGACTAGTTGCACACACATATGCTCAGTTGACTTGTAATTTAGTCTAGTTGCACACATATTGATGTTTAATTGGCAGAACACTAGTTGCATACACATATGCGCAATTGATAGGAGGAAGTAGATTTTTAATGCTAGATACACTATTCGAATAACAAATAATATGGATAGGAGGAAGTAGATTTTTTTTCTTCTCATGAAGCCTTTGGTTTGTGGGTTGAATTTCTAATCCTATATAGGATAGGAGTCCATCTTTCACATTTTAAAGAAAAAAACATTAGCCTACATTTAATAAAAATATACATCAAATGACGTCTTTTTTCCCATAGGAATTAAAATGTGTGTAGAAGGGGCTTCGTCATCGGAGCTGGAGCCATGGGTGTCGGAGTTAAATCTGGCAGATCGGGTAGGTGTCCCAAACAGGTAGTCTTGGCACGATGGTAACATGAGACACAAGTGTTTTGGGCTCTCTCGAAGAGATATATGTTGGAAAATGTAGTAGAAACGGAAAATCGGCCTGCGATCAAACCAAAAACACTATGAAGATCCACTAGCGGTTAAGAGCGAATCATTATCAACTTCGAGTTGCAACGGAAGAAGAATTGGTGTAGCTCGTCGATGAAGTCCCTCGAACAGTTCACGAGCGATCCCTCAAACCGAAGACCAAAAGCACGACCTCTCTACAGATTGCAAGCATTCGGGCTTCATGATCCGGCAGCGCTTCGTCGTCCAGAGCTAATCGTAGCCGGAGAATTAGAGGGGAAGAAGAGAACCATAAAGGGCTTCTCTATTATGAGGATTAGAGAGATCTAGGTCTAGCTCTAATTAGATCAACTCCAAATTAGAATTAGAACTGGAGAACTAGAGGATGCTCCAAAACTTGTGTGTCTCCAAAGGTGGAGGAGGGGCGCCACAAGGGAGGAGGGACTCCTCCCCCTTGCGCCGGCCCTAGGGGTGGAGGAGTCCCCCTCCACCTCCAATTCGGCCACCCCTAGCTTGTCATACAAGCTAGGGGCGCCATATATTGTTATTGGGCCCTAGTATTTTCCTTGACTCGTTGATATTTAATTAAATATAAAAGCCTCCTAATCAATATTAGAGCATTTTATTATTAATTTAACATCTTCAGAAACATTTTCCACCTATATATTGATTCCCGGTATTACCGGGTAAACCCTTTAACTCTTCCGGTAACTCCGGAACGCTCTCGGTTTCTCTCGAAACTATTTTTAATATTAATGAAACTATTTCATAAATATTTTCTCATAACTCTTCACCAATAACACTCAACAGATCATGATTTCCTTAAGCTTGTGACCCTGTAGGTTCAGTAAAACATAGACATGAACAAAACCCTTTTTTATTCAATGATCAATAGCGGAACCGTGGACATCCATATTGATCCCTATGAATACACGAATGGCATTCGAGTGAACCTTTTGGTTATCATGTGCTATTCCCTTCGCTTCATGATACTTTACAAAAACCAAGGTGAAATATATCGGTATCCTCTTGAGTCATTCTCATGCTCACTATATCGGTCTCTGATAACCCACAAGTATAGGGGATCGCAATAACTTTCGAGGGTAGAGTATTCAACCCAAATTTATAGATTCGGCACAAGGGGAGCCAAAGAATATTTGAAGGTATTAGCAGCTGAGTTTTCAATTCAACCACACCTGGAGATTAATTATCTGCAGTAATGTGATCGGTAGCAAAGTAATATGATAGTTTGGATAATAGTGACAACAATAACAGTGATAGCAGTAGTTTTGTAATAAGGGCAACAGTAACGATAGCAGTAGTAACTTAGCAAGAACAATATAATGTAAATTCATAGGCATTGGATCGGCGACTTGTTGGATGATATTCATCATGAGACAGTTATAACCTAGGGCGATACGGCACTAGCTCCAGTTCATCAATATAATGTAGGCATGTATTCTGTAAATAGTCATACGTGCTTATGGAAAGGACTTGGATGACATCTTTTGTCCTACCCTCCTGTGGCAGCGGGGTCCTATTGAAGGAAATATGCCCTAGAGGCAATAATAAAGTTGTTATTTGTATTTCCTTATATCATGATAAATGTTTATTATTCATGCTATAATTGTATTAACCGAAAACTTAGTACATGTGTGAATACATAGACAAAACAGAGTGCCCCTAGTATGCCTCTACTTGACTAGCTCGTTGATCAAAGATGGTTAAGTTTCCTAACCATAGACATATGTTGTCATTTGATGAACGGGATCACATCATTAGAGAATGATGTGATGGACAAGACCCATCTGTTAGCTTAGCATTATGATAGTTTAGTTTTATTGCTATTGCTTTCTTCATGACTTATACATATTCCTCTGACTATGAGATTATGCAACTCATGAATACCAGAGGAACACCTTGTGTACTATCAAACGTCACAACGTAACTGGGTGATTATAAAGATGCTCTACAGGTGTCTCCGAAGGTGTTTGTTGGGTTGGCATAGATCAAGATTAGGATTTGTCACTTCGAGTATCGGAGAGGTATCTCTGGGCCCTCTCGGTAATGCACATCACTATAAGCCTTGCAAGCAATGTGACTAATGAGTTAGTTGTGGGATGATGTATTACGGAACGAGTAAAGAGACTTGCCGGTAACAAGATTGAACTAGGTATGATGATATCGACAATCGAATCTCGGGCAAGTAACATACCGATGACAAAGGGAATGACGTATTTTGTTATGCGGTTTGACCGATAAAGATCTTCGTAGAATATGTAGGGACCAATATGAGCATCCAGGTTCCGCTATTGGTTATTGACCAGAGATGTGTCTCGTTCATGTCTACATAGTTCTCGATCCCGTAGGGTCTGCACGCTTAACGTTCGATGACGATTTGTATTATGAGTTGTGTGTTTTGGTGACAGAAGTTTGTTCGGAGTCCCGGATGAGATCACAGACATGACGAGGAGTCTCGAAATGGTCGAGGGGTAAAGATTAATATATTGGAAGGTTATATACGGACACCGGAATGGTTCCG